ACTGCCTTCATCACAGTAATTATCTGGTTTAATTTACCTTTCCCTTGCATAATTTATATTAGTGCCTATGGATCCAGGTGCACTTACCTAGCTTCTCTCTCATACCTGATGGCAATCATAGCCGCCAGAGTCCAGACCCAGAAAACTGCAAATGAAGCTAAGCCTGCTTTGTAGATTTGACCAGATCAGTTGAACTAGTCTCTTAACACAGGGATGGCACTTGAATTGTTTTTTGGTAAAAAAAAAACTTTTTAAGTAGGAATAATATTAAATATATGCTATTTGCTGGACAAGTCTGTAGATTATAAAATAGAATGTAGTGGACAAAGGAAACAGTAAAATAATTGTGCATAATTGCCATTATGAACTCTGACATCCTTAAGGTTCCAATTGCTTTAAAGAAAAGTGATGGATTTCTATTTGAAGACTACATGTTCACAAGTCAAGTAAATTAAATAGCTGAATGGGCAGTGGATTCTAACTCTCCTTCCCCTTGCAGAAAAGAGATGGAGTGTTTCTGTAGTCCTCGCTGTTCTAACTTTCAAAACAGTAAAGTGTGACTGTGTGAGGAAAACCAGGAGCTACATGTTCTAGGAGTTGACAGTGAAGGCAGAAAAGGACAAGTGAATTTGTGATGATTTATTAAGAGTGACTAAGGTGACACCAAGGGAAAAATCTAATCATGAAGGTAAGTGGCACTCAGGAGACTGAAAAATTGAGTCTCCCTATAGCTGAACTACAGTTAGGCAGTTCAATGTAGAGTTCCAGCTCCAGTTGTCAGAAGCTATTCTGTTGTTAAGGATGAAGCAGCTAACTCAATGAAAAAAAGAAGTTTAAATGAATATGTCGCTGGATAAAAGGACGTCAAGAATGCCACCAAGGCTCATCACTTGGATAATTAACAAACTGTCTCTTTGAAAGCAGCAATGTTTTAAACTTTCCTCATTTTGGGACCTTGAATGAATCACATGATGGTGTTTCAATAAAAAAAAATGCATACAAGCCTGTTTGATCTACCAGGTCTGAAGAGACATGATAGATTGGTTAGGTGCAGTTGATAATGAGAGGAGCCTTTTTTCCTGGTTATAAAACTCTAAGTGGCACTATAAATTCAGCCAAAGTTGGTTACAGAAAGATTAGATAACTAGAGTAATTATATAAATTAATCAATTGGTAAATCAATATAGATAGATGATGAAGACAGTAGATAGAAAGAGATGATAGATGGGTAGAAGATAAATACATAAATTAATAGATCAGTGGATATAAATAGATGGCAGATAAACAGTAGATATGTTGGCATTTAAATATATAATAGATGATAGATGATAGGTGACTAGATGACAAATGGTAGACTGATAGATAATAGATGTGTGTATAGATGATAGAGGATAGATAATAGAAACTTCAGAATAAATAATGTTGGATAGGTAGGTAGGTAGATGAAAGAGAGATGAATGATGTTAGATGACAGATAGATGATAGATTGATTGATTGATGATAGATAAATGATAGAAATATGATAGATAGATGATAGCTAGCTATAAGATAGACAGACAGACAGACAGACAGATAGAAAGATCGATAGATGATAGATGATAGATAAATGATAGGTAGATAGATGATAGAGAGATACATAGCTAGATAGATGATAGATGGTAGATAGACTCAAATATACCGTAGCATACAAAAAATATAACTGAGTGAGTAATCAACTTGACGGAGAGAGAACCTGGACATTCTAAGACTAAGATTTCACTTTTACCAAATACTTTTCTCTGTGTTCCTGGATATAGTTTAATAACACTCTTTCTGGGTTCAACTTATTTTTAAAAGTAAATGATTTAACTACATATAAAGAGACTCTACTTATCAGAGATTTGACATATTTTTATAGTGTTGGTTTATGAAATAACGGACTCATAGCCAAGGTGGTAGAATGATACACCAACAGTGAAGTTGTAAGAGGGATGCTATTCGGTTCACGTGAAGTCAGCTGTCTCATTATGATCGTTCTCCACAAGATACACTTTGAATGATGTTTATTATTAAGTCAATTCCATGTAGATGTGACGATTTATTTGAATGTACCTAGAGTTTTTCAATATTGTTTCAGAAGGGAATAAATGGAAATTATTTTTGCACTGAGCAGCTTAGGTTCTATTCTGAAATCATTTTTCTACCTGAGTATGTGTATGATATAGAATTATAGATGATAAACTACTTAGACCACTGCAGCCCTTATCCCCTTGGTAGTCTCTCTCTCTCTCTCTGTCTCCCTTCCTCCCTCCCTCTTTATCATTCCAGAACTTTCTAACCCATTAGTTGTAATCGTTCCATAATGTTGTTTTCAAAGTTCATGTTATTGGTCTGTCTTTATAAATCAAAATATTTGTAACAGAATCTTTCATAAACTTAAACTAATGACTCCATATTATGCCAAAGTTCACAAAAGGCAAATGAAGTTAAAAGATTTCCCTGCCAGGCTTTTGTTTTCTTTTTTATTATTCTCTATTTGAGCATCTGAAATGGTCTACGTTAGAAGACATCAAAGAAATTTCCTCATTATTATGTGAATTCAACAAAAATAATGAGCAGAAAGATGCTTTTTCAAAACATTGGTTAAAATTTAACTCAAACTCAAGGGCAATTATTATTTCTAGGTAATGTATGCACATATACAGGTGTGTGTACATGTGCACATACACACTGAACTAGAGTTGGGTAAGTCTGGTGTTGTTGAGACAGACTCTCATTTTACCACCTGTGCTGGCTTCAAACTTGTGATCTTCCTACCTCTCCTCTGCCAGAGGCTGGGCATGTGCCATACAACCCAGTTTGAGATAACGGTTCTTTACCTGGGATTTTTGATCTTGTAGGAAAAGGAGGCCTAACCAACTTTCATTTCTTCACACATTTCAAAGATGTTCAAGACGGTTTGTTTTCATCTACTCCTTCCTGCAGTGAAACTGAAGAATTTCTTATTCTGCCAGGAAGATCTCTCAGTGGGCAAAAGTGCTTGACATGCAAGCCTAATGACCCACATTGGTTGCTCAGAACTCATGTATAAAAAGCTAAATACAGTGGCATGCATATGCAATCCAAGCATTCCTGAGGTGGCCAAATGGAGTTTGAGAGATGGACAGAGGTACTGACAGGAAGCTCTATGTCCAGCTACCTTGGACTATGCCATGTAGCAGCACAAACGAGAGGCCCGCCTTCAACAAGGTCGAGGACAAAAACTGACACTCAAAATCTGTCCCATCACCCATGTGTCACATGTGCACCTGCATCAACCCATCCAAACACACACACACACAAGATAAAACCTAAGAAAGTACTTTTGTCTGTATAACTGTTTTGATTATAGATTTCTTTACTCTTCTGATAGCTACTAGTAATCTATCGCTTGTTTTTTGCAAATATGATTGACTTCTTAGCTGATTTTCTATAAATCACCAAGTATCCTAATCAAAATATTGACCTATCATATTGGTTCTCTATTTCTGTAATAACAGAATTTATAAAAATTATTTCCATAAGCTTATTGAGATTCTCTGAGTATTACTAATCAATTTTCATATAACGAACATTTTCCATATAAATAACTCATATACTATTTTATGAAGTATTATCTTTTACTATTTATAGCAATAAAGTATGGTAGATAATAGATGTGTGTTCTAAAATGTATAATAGATGTATTATAAAAGCTATTGAGTTAGCAAAACAATGAATATAATAAAATACTAAAATCATATCTTTGATTCTTCCCCTTAAAATTCCACATGTAAGAAAATCACATCTCTTGCACCTCTGATAATTTCAAAAAAGATTTTATTATTTTTATTTTATGTGTATGAGTATATTGCTTGCACGTATGTAAGGGCATCCATGTCATACAATGTCCTGAAGGTCAGAAGAGGACATCAGATCCCTTGGAACTGGAGTTACAGATGGCTGTCAGCCACCATGTGGGTGCTGGGAATCGAGCCAGTGTCTTCCGCAAGAGCAGCCAGTGCTCTCCACCATTGAGCCATCTCTCTAGCCCAAGTTTGACATTTTTATGTCCTTCCTGGCTGGCCTGGAACTTGTTATGTAGATTAGGCTGGCCTTGAACTTGCAGTAACATTCCTGCCTCTGGCTCCTGAGAGCTGGGATTCCAGATGTTTCTACTATACCTGGCTGAAGGAGTTTCCTTCTCTATTGCCTTTGCTGTTCTGTCACTTTGGGTCCTTTCAATCTTTCCCTCCTCAATTGTTCTGTTTTTCACCTTATATCATCCCGCATGATCAGATTCACTGCCTTGTATGAGTTTGAGCATTCCAGAAATGATCAGAATCTGAACTCTTTGAGCCTTTGCTTTTCTATACTGATATTCAAGGCATCTAAAAATGTGCTCAAGTGTGTGCCTGGTCCCATGTGACTCCTTCTTAATCTTGGTACATCATTGATAAACTATATGCAGATACATAACACTAAAGGGTTGCATTCTATTTCAAGAAATTACTAAGGCACATCTCTCAGAACTCCAGGGAAACTACTCCTTTCTACACACACAAGCACACAATACTACACATGTGAATTCTGACCAAGTTAGACCACAAGCAACTTGAGATTGACATGGCATTTTGTGTAGACTGCATACTCCCCTGTATTTCACAACACTTTTTGCCTGTGTCCATCAAATAAGTTGGCCTTTGGAATGTGTCTCGAGATGTTTTAGAGTATATCCTTTCTCTCTACCCGCCTCTGTGACCTATTTTCTACATAAACCAGAAGCATGTGGGGAAGCTGAACACCACTTTTAGGGTTTCAGTCATCGCTGTTCTTCCTAAGATCAATTACTTGATCAGATGGGAAATAACTTTTACTAAAGCACTTGCACTGTTCTCATTTTTTATCAACACAGACCTCATGCACACTTAGGCCTGATGGATGCTTAATTCATGTCAACTGAAACAATAGTCCTAAGGCATCTTTCTGTTTCTGTTTTCTAGGCTTTTTGAGCACAGGGGATCAGGCTGCCAAAGGAAACTACGGGCTTCTTGACCTCATCCAGGCCCTAAGGTGGACCAGCGAGAACATTGGGTTCTTTGGTGGCGACCCCTTACGAATCACTGTGTTTGGATCAGGCGCTGGGGGGTCGTGTGTCAATCTGCTGACTTTATCCCATTATTCTGAAGGTAACCGTTGGAGCAATTCAACCAAAGGTATTATGCAGGTTGCAAATTTTGACAATTTTGGTGTCTGCATGCCACCGCCATCAATATTATGTGATGCTCTGTATATATTTCTCTGTTCCAACTGAGTGTTAGGTCACACAACTGTTTAAAGCTGTTTCTTAGCCTCTCTGTGCATGTTTAAATTTCTGCCAGACTCTTTTCTCAGTCTCACATGGAGTGTGGTAAAATCGTTCTTCTAAGCACACTTTAGAACACTTAACATCACAGTAATTTTTCTTTCTGTCAAAGGCTGATTTAGGGGAAAATCAGACAAAGACTCATCTTTCTGCCCTCTCTACTCACTTGGTAATCAAAATCAAAGAATTTTTTTTTTTTAACCTAGGGATTGCATGTAATCTATTTTCAAGAAAACAGACATCTTGAGCCCTTTATCAGTATGGTACTAATGAGGTAGTCAGAAGGTAGTTTGTCTGGAAACATATGACCCCCATGTTGTGTGAGACGAGAATGGATATTTGATTATTTTGCATGCGTGATCCAAAATTGTCAAAGCACTGAGGTCACTAGGAGAGCTTTTGATTACAAAGAAAATCACGTTTGATTTTGTGGTTTTTCCATTTTCAGCTCCAAAATTGTTGATTTTTTTTTTCTCTCCTAAACCTTGGCAAAGCAGCATGAAGCTCTAGCCTGCTTTAGTCTACAAAATAGTTTTCTTATTTCCATTTTCTAACTTTGATGTTCTTCCCCCAAAGAGCCTCTCTAGACTGGTCACGCAGACCCTCATGGATGCCATCTTGCTAGGCATCCAACCACTCCATCAACAACTTGAAATAGCCATAAGAACAGAAGAGGGTTTTGTTTTGTTTTGTTTTTATTTCTGAAACAGGGTCTCCCTGTAGCCCCAGCTGGCCTGGAATTCACTATATAGACCAGGCTGGCCTTGAACTCACAGAGATCCGCCTGCTTCTGTCTCCCCAGTGCTGGCACCAAAGGCGTGTGCTGCCACACCTGGCCATGAAGTGTTCTTTAAGAAGTCCACAAAGCAAATACTTTCCCCGCATTATTTATGTGTATTAGAGAGGAAGATAGAGAGTGTTCATCAATATTGACCATCTTTGATTTTCTGCTCCCCTACAGTCGTTGCACATGTGAGGAACTTGTGTTCACTCTGTCAAGTGGAATTCATAGAGAATCTTAATTTCTTTTTAATTTTAATCTTTTTTATTTTTAATTATTTGTATGTGTGTCTGCGTGTGAGTGTTGCATGTGATTACCACTGCCTGGGGAAACTATGGTAACATAGTCCTCTGGCGCTGGGGTTACAGGAGGTTGTAAGCTACCCAGCCTAGGTGCTAAGAACGGAATTTGGGTCCTCTGAAAGAGCACTACACCCTCTTAATCACTGAACAATCTCTCTGGCCCCAGGAATTGTAATACTATGATATGGTATGTGCACTAGACATAAAAAATTTGCTTTAGTCATAAATGATACAAAGAACATTTTAGTTATCAAAGATACATTTGTAATATCCAGAGAGTAACCATTAATAAATACTTCACATTTTATATCAACTTAACTGATTGACAGTTAATATAGCATCTCACTCAGTAGCAGTAAGATTCCAATTTGAGATGCCATGAAAATAAATATGAGCACATTTTTAATTGACTGTATTTTGGTCTGTAATGAAAGCACTGATTTTGAAATACAAAGTTGATTCTTTCTAATTAATCAGGTTAGATATTCCATTAACTTTGCAGTAGGCAACCTGCACAGAACTCTTGGGGTCAGTGGGTCCTAATGCCATTTTCAGCCAGTTTCCAATGAGAGTTGGATGAAGAGACAAATCAGTTAAATCATTTGCTCATCACATGGTAGTCCAGTAAGAAGAGGCAAATGGTTCTATAAACAGCTCTGCATCTGCATGGACTTATGTTTGAGCTAGTTACAAGGCCCTATGAAGAATAAGCTAGACATGAGCTTTAAAGACTGTGAACCCCACAAAACCTGCACATTGCTCAGGTCTGCAGCTGCCAGGAGTCAGCCATGTCTCACATATACTTAATAAATCCCTCTCAATAATGATAAGATAAATGGCCTTCCAGGTATCCTCTGGTATGTAAATTTAAGGCAATATTTAACATGGTGTGCTAAATAATTTTTGGTATATTTAGTGTCAAGTTCCTGAAATAAGATGGAATATTATTTTTTAAACTACCAGGTTTTAAATGTCATAAACAATTTAATTAGTAAAATATTCTTCTCAAATATTGACAAACAGCTCTTGCATTTGTTAAATTGTCAGTGCCTCTATAATTTTCCCTGGTAGTCTTTGCTGTATTAAACTAAAAATGGATTCATAAAGACTTCCAAAAACCAAAACAGATGTAATTCAGCATTGTCTGATTCTTTGAATAGTTTAGAGTTATCTAGGAACACATCACAGACATTAAAAAAATT